GAAAACAATTCTAATGTTAACTGCCTAGCATATTGTCATTAAAATCTTTGTCTATTTCGGTTGGGAGCCTCAACCCACCTTCTTCAGGGCAAGTCTCTACATTACACAGTTCCACTTCATATCGTTTACCAGGACAGCCAGACCTGGCAGAAGCGCCGTGTTTCTTGCAATACCGAAACCTAATCCTGGCCCCTCCGCCACATGTTACGCTGCAGTCATCCCATAGCCCCCACTCTGACCAAGCAGCATCCATTTTATCGCAAGGTTCAACATTGCATTTCTTGACTTCCGTGTCCTTTTCTCGGAACGACTTTATGGAGGGATACCGAGCTCGGACCTTGATACCCCCGCCACAGGAAGCGGAACAAGCGGTCCAGCTTCCCCAGCCCATTTGCAATGGCGAGTGATTGACTCGGAGGGTATCCCCGGCTTCCGGTGCATCTAACATGTGTTTGAGAGAGGACAATATTTGGAAGCAGGAAGTTAGCCAGAGAGTCAATACAATAAGGTTAGGGATTATAGGAGAAGCTGAACTCCCACACGGAGTTCACGAAATTTGGTTTCACCGTAAAGCCATCCTGAGGCTTTTTAATATAAAGCCAAATGTGCTCAACTAACTGTAAAACATGGAAAAGAGCCAAACAAAAATATTCATCTGATAGGAGACAACAACAGCGGCAACTAGAAAAGACGTTATAACAACAACAGCAATAGTATTCCGTTGCTTGATTTCGCTTTCACGACACTATTAAAAGTTTGAAAATAAACCTAACCGTGCCTTGTTATCAAACTAAAACTCTCTACCTTAGTGAAAGCAATTCTGAATTCTAAATTTTTAGAAGACACTGAAAAGTATTTACAATTTCATACAACTATCTTTTTCTTTACTAAACAGAAGAATCAAACGTACGTACCTCCTTCATTTTTTCCTACTCTAACTGGTTTCCAGTATTCAAAGGTTGTGTTCAGCTTCCCTGTGATTAACAGTGACTATGGATTTCAAGTAGACATAAAGCAAAGTCAAAAAAACCTCTCTCAATAACGAGCTGGAAAACCATGTCTTTGGATAATATCTCTCACATTGATTAACATAAGAGATAAATCATAACAGATCCTTCAAAGTTAACCATCCCAAAACTGCTGGAAAGTAAGCTTCGGTAAAGAACTAAGACAAATTATTTCTGTACTTTTGACGGAAATTGCACGTTACGTCAGGATGCAAGATGGCGTCAGTTATACAGTGGAACCTCGATTTAACGAAGTCGCTGGGGACTGGCCAAATTTGTTCGTTAAATTGAGGGTTCGTTAAATCGAAAACCTCGATATAACGAATTT